CAATATGTAAAATTGAAATTAAAAAGTGCCGAAAACAAGAACAATAAGAAAGTTAATAAGAAACATGTCTATAAAAGTAAAATTGTCTGCACATAACATGTACTAATAGTCGATACCCAACCCTAAATATTTAATATTTTACCACAAAAAAATAACTTTTCATATTTTCTATGTAATTTGAATGATATAATCATAGTATTGTAGCACCAACTGATTGCAGCGGCAGAGCTGTGGAGGCAAATCATTGGTTTGTCGCGTAGGAGGAAGATGACTCATGTCCATTTGTGTAACAAGGCTCTTGTTGTTTGAGACGTAATGTAAGTTCACTAATAGAGTTATCCTTCTCATTATCTTGTTGTGTAAGAATTTTCAATTGTTGCATAAATTTAGGATGAGCTTTGACTGTGTTGCTGTATGACTTGCGCGGAGCAAGTCCAATCCCAGATGGTTGCTTCATTCATGACAGATGCTTCATCTTCTAGCTCTGTTTGTGATTGTTGCAACTCCATCATCAATTTTCGTCATACAATATGAAAAGGTTGTTAAATTAAATTATATTCATTATAATATTTGTGTAATAAGTGATATATCTTAATTTCATATCGCGACTCAATAAGTTGGTTATCCCATCCTTTTGTTGTGGAATGCTACCTCCTAAATAATTCAATGTGACCAATTGATTCTTCTTGTGTATGCTGATAAAAATTGTTAAAAATATAAGTTAATAACTCATTTTTCCAATACATGCAAATCCCAATTAGGTTGGGAGTGAAAATGTTATTTATACCACGATTTAATTCCATACTAATATAAGCTTTAGGTTGGGCAGCTTTCTAATAATAGAGAAAGAGCTAATTCTAGAAATAGAAAGTCAATATTTGCTTGATGACATGAGAAGGGACAATACTCTATACTAGAAAATAATGTCCCTGGTATCAATACTATGGCAAGCTAATACGATAAATTGTCCTACTGAGGTGAATTTTTTTTGGACAAGTAGACACTACTGGACAAGTCTTGGAGATCTCAAAAATGGCCAAAGCTAAAATATTTTTTAGATTGGTCTATAAAGAGGGAAAACAAATGATATGTAGCTTACATTATTTCCAGCCAATCACCATAAGTGCACACAAATTAAAGCATGACACCAACTTGCAGTGATGTAATTCTGATAAACTTACATTGGTAGATGTAAGGATGCAATCACAAGCAAGCCATATGATCAAGGCAGAAGAAATATTCACCAAACACAATTGATAAACTTGAAACTCCACAGATCCAGAGCATGCATTTACATGAAATGTAACATGTACATGAGCAAACTTTCTCATTAAGCCCTCGTCTAGTGCAATCGTGTGTACATACTTAATGTTGTTAAAATCCAAGAGAAATCTTGATCCGGGCTCAGTCTAATTAACCAAACAAACACTAACCGAGGATGCTCTGACCCACAACTTTAACACTCGGGGTTGCAACTAGTTTTCATCCCCACAAAGGAGGAAGATGGTGGTAGCAATATCACAAAGGGAGGAAGAAAGGAGGTGCAATGGTTGAAATCTCAAACGAACCACCAAGAATGGATACCTCACAAATTCTCCTCTATTGCGCACACACATACACACGGCTACTGCACAGATATGTATAGATTGGTAAATTGGGTCACCAAATATGGGCCAAGTCAAGTGGACAAACCAAAGTATCGGGCTTCCAACAAAAGGGGTGATGTTTAGAATAAATCGGCCATCAATGAGTGTAGGCCACGAGCAACATTAACTCAATTAGGTTGCTTCTAGTGGCCCCAAGTTGTTTCGGGTGGAACCATCACTAAGGCGTCGATATAAATTATTCAACATCGGTTTAACATCATCGCCTAGGATTTGTTGGATATCAAAACCCAACACTTAAGCTTGCTGGAAAGGGGCACATTTGAACAATGAATCGCGTATCATTTATACAGGCAGACACACTACAGCAACAACAGGCTGATATCAGTTAAAGCATATGTAATTGAGTAATTCTATTTGTCGATTCCACTTTTCTAAGTATTCAATCAAACCATCACTAGAAAATAACTTCAAGTGAAAACAATAAACACTGATGAAGGACTATTAAAATTCAGAGTTGAAGAGGTCAATTAGATTACCAGTGCTTCCCTAGTCCCAGTGAATGATCTAGTCCCACCATGGTGATTATATGGAGTCTTGGCTCGATTGAGTTTTCTGGCAGCAGATCGTTTTTAAAAACCAATAACAATATTGTAGAGTAATTAATTAGGCAACTCATTCATCCCGCTTTAATAGACAATGTCTTAAAGTGATATTGAAATAGTTTAATAATTTCACATACCAGAAACTTATCACTTTCGAAGTGCGCACACATCCACTCCCAATGCGATTTAACAGTTGTTGGTTTACATTATAGTGGATCATTTCCATACAGCTTTAGTTGTTTTTATTTTTTTATTACATGCGCTTCTATGATCTTTATACCTCTCACGAAAATGTCTTGCAACAATTTCAACAATGTGACGATCATTTATGCCTCGGTTTGATCTCCATTATTTCTCATTATAATGAGAGGAATAGTAATTTTTTTGAGAATATGTGGTTAAAAGATTAAGAATTGTTTTTAGATTTACATGTAATATTATTTTATTGAAAATGTGTGATTAAGAAGAGGAGGGAAAAAAATAAATTTTAATTTAATGGAAGCCAAACAGGGGCTAAATCAACATCAATTTTTCCAAAACATGGAGAAAAGAAAAACTAATAAGTGATTATATTATTAAACATAAGGTACTTGCAGCTATGCAGCAAAAAATATATCAAAAAAAGCCCTAACAGGTGGATGGACTGGTTTAGTTCAATAAAGTATATGCCATCTAGATAACATGACATCCATCTTAATTTTACAATAGAAACAACATTTTAAAAATCACAAAATTGAGATCTAACATCTAGTTTAACATATAAACACTCAAGCTGAGCAACTATTAGAACAAGATGTTCAACGAAAATTCAAACTTAACTGACATGAAGACAGTTGGAGGCTAGTTCCTTGTCATGAGTAGTTGCTACATTCCAATCTGTCAAGCGCTGCGAAATAATATTTTGCATGATGATACCAATCTCATTGGCAAATGGAGAGGACGTTTCACAAAAATGTGCGCATATCTCGCTCTTTGACTTGTACAATAAGTTTTTTTCTTATTTGCATCAATTATTCTTTGTGAAGCCAATCCACGACTAATTCCACCTTTTTTTCTGAAAAGGAGCTAAAAGATATTTAAAGAAGATTAATGTCAATGAATATGAAGAATCAAGCTACAATATATTCAAAATCATTAAATGCATACTATTGAATGCATCTTTCAGTAGTATCTGCAGCAGCAGTAGGATTTACACTAGATTGAGCTATCAGGGTTTACGCCTGATTGAGCTGTAGAAGATGCTGAAATAGGAATGTGTGATTGATTAGAGTGCTCTCCTTGTCCACGAGGAGATGGGCTCCAATTGCTGGAGTTTGGAGGAGCAGCATATGTTATGGGTAACATGTGCTTCGACTTTCTTTTTGGTGGCATCTGTAGTGCATTAAGAAAATAGGGAAAGCAAAAAGGGTGAAGAAATAACTATATATTATGATTAAGCTCCACAAAGTGTTAATTAACTGTATATTAGCAAACATGCTTAAGAAAACCAAATTTCTTAAAAAATTGAACATATAATTCATAATTTAACTCTCTGTATTTGTTAATCTATTAATAAACAGCTAGGGTTTGAAAATTCATAACACAATACAATTATAGCACAAGATAAGAAAAATCATAGTTCTCTCATTCTTTTTCTCTGTGTAGATTTTCATTGGAGACTGACAATTAGATAGCTGTGATTACAGATCAGAACTATTCTTCAAGAAATTCGTCAAGTGTATAACTTTCTATCACAATTCCTATCTAAACACAAATCAAATCCTTGGTGGGAATTGAAATCTGTTTTATTTTTCGCTGTGCATAATTAAGTAAATTCTCAACACTTATTTGGTGTAGCTTAAAAGTTGATATAAATTTAATTCAAAATTAATAATTAATTTTTACCTCACATTTCATTGAATTCACAATATTTTATCAATTTTTTATCAAAATATACTAAAAATTTGATTTTTAAATACACCAAACAGGGGCTAAGTTTCAACTTGGTGAACTAAAAGCAGGTTTTAATATTAAAGTGAAATTAATTTCTAAATGTATTTTCAACATATTATCAATCTAGAAGGTGAGGTATTTAGTCGTTTTATTTGTCATATTTCTAGTCAAGCAGGTGGTTGAATCTCAAATTTTAAGTTTCAAACTGAACTAAGAAAAGCACATTTTAACATTAGTGGAATTAATTTTTTAATTGTCTTTTCAACAAACTATCAATCTAGAAGGTGATTAATTTTAATAAAGCTAAGTTTACGCTTCTAATTCAACGACTCAATTTTGGGCTACCAATGCCCCTAAGAAAAATAAAACTTGGTAGGATTAGTTGTGCCAAGAAGGATGCCACAGTCAAATAATTTAAATAGATGGTCAAAGAGGGAATAATTTGAATTTATAAATATGAATAATGTGTATCTTTCTTTAGTATATTAAACTCGTAAAGTCGCGACTATCCGGATTTTAATTTCTATCGAAGTTGTGAATCTCATAAAATATGTGATTAAAATTAATTGCTGACTTTGACTCAAATTAACCAGATATGATCTATTTGATATAGAATTAGTTCTAACTTTGAGTGAAATCACATTGTACAAAATAAGATAGAATAAAACCTGAGAGGCATGCACTGAATGGTTTAGTGATCAACTTTGACAAGTAACTTATAAACAGAGACTAAGCAGACAATGAAGTAAAAAAGAAAAAATGAATTAAAATAACCAAAACCATGACTGATAATTACTATAAAAGCAATGGTTTGTAGCATTAACAAAACTTGGAAAGATAAAAAAATAGAAGATAAAACATGGCCGCTAAGGGTAGTGCTGTACCAGTAATTGACTTGCAAGATTTCTCAGGGCTGCCTAAAAAATTAGTGAGGGCTTGTGAAGAATGGGGATGCTTAAGGATTGTAAACCATGGTGTTCCAATGGAACTGATGACCGAAATGAAGATCGTTTCACGTTCACTCCTTGACCTCCCAGTGGAAATCAAACTGAGAAACTCTCATCCTGAGCATGGCAAAGGATACACCCCACCTAATATGCCAAGCCCATATCTTGAGGGTTTGAATTTATACGATATGGCCTCATCTGGAGCAGTCGATGATTTCTGTGCTCAAGTTGGTGCGTCCCCTCATCAAAGGTACTGCTCTTGAATGCATATATGTCACCATTGTTGAAGGTTTTAGTTTTCTTATCTGTTTGAAGAATTTTTCTTATTTTATTTTTTGGCAGAGAGATAATAGAGAAGTATGCTTTTGCTGTGTATGATCTTGCACAAAACCTAGGCAGCAAACTGATGGAAGGTTTAGGGTTGGGTCGTCATGAGTTGTTCAAGCAATGGCCATGCCAACTGAAAATGAACAAATACAATTACAGTCATGAAACTGTTGGATTAACCGGTGCTGTGACGCATACAGACCCCGGATTTCTCACAATACTGCAGGATGATGAGACAGTTAATGGCCTGGAGGCAGTGGACAAGTACACTGGAGAACTGGTTTCAGTTGATCCCATACCAGGGACCCTCGTTGTCAATGTTGGAGATGTGGCTAAGGTACGTGTTACGAGGCATAATTTAAACAATCATACTACATGTATATCTTTTTGGACATCAAGTTTAATATTATTGTAAGATGACAACTTTTTATACATTAATTTTAACTTAAAAAAGTTTAGGTCTTATAGTTTAGAATGGTTTTCACAATCCAAAACCTCAAACCAATGTACAAATATCCAGAATCATAATAAACATCACCACTGTAAGTACGAACAAAACTATCACGTATAAATTCAAATTAAAGACCACTCTTAGAAGAACAACAACTAAGATCAAGTCGGTGGGGTCTTTGGATACTATCTTAGTGGAGTCTTTGGATACTATCTTAATATCAAATAGAAGGTTAGTTTCTCAACCGTGCAACAATGAGTTGCATGTACCAATCATATAAACCTCTACTATATCTTCATATTAGTATATATTTATTTTGAACCAAGTTAAAGACTTGACAATAAACTAAAGATACATCTTGATCTCATATAAAATGTGTTTTTAACTCTTAAGTTCACTATTCACACATGATAAGATCAAATATATAGTGTTCGACACGTAAACAACATTAGGAGGGATATATTTAAATGCAATATCTTTGAGCTTAAACACTTTCGAGCTAAGTAATTCAAAACCGTATAGTTGAAGCACTTGAGCTTTTATATTATTAAGGGAAAATTGCAACCACGGTACCAAACATTTCATTTAGTTGCAGGCTTTGTCCAAACCTTTTATTTGTATCACCCACAGTACCAAACCTTTAAAAAACTCTCACCCGAAGTCCAAATTGACAGAAACGTTAGCTGACCAAATATTAAAAGCCTGACCAATTGTAGACTAATTTTCAAAGGGCAAAACTGTAACTTTACATTTTTTTCATATAAGAAAAACTAAAATAAAAATAAAAAACCAAAAAAATAAGTAATGACCCACCCCACCCCACCCAAAACCAAAACGGATGTCAATAGGTCTAGCCAAGTCGGCTCGGCCCTTAAACCCACAAGCTTGGCTCGTGGCTCGTTTGCTATTAGGAGAGCTCGGCTCGGCCCACGTCAAATTTTTATTTAAGCTTTTCTTAGCTTTTTTTATTTTTTTTTTTTAGAGTTTTTTAACGAGCCCACGAGTTGCTCGTGAAAAAACTAGTCGAGCCGAGCTCAGCTTGCCTAGCGAGCTCGCCGCTCGGTTCGTGCTCGAACTCGTCTTTGGACGAGTCGAGCAGCTCGTGGCTCGGTGGTAATGAGTCGAGCCGACTCGGCTCGATTGCCACCACCAAACCCCCAAAATGATATCACCACCGCACCAACACAACTCCGGCGCCACCTCTCCAAAACTTCACATTCTTGAACACTATTTAACGAACATTCACATTCTTGACCTTCATGGCTATTTCTTGACTCAACGGCCACATTTTCACAATAGGAGCTTTTTAATTCTTGAAATTCATTCTTTATTTTTGCTTCCCTCTCTGTTTTATTCTTTGTTTGTGCTGTGGCTAATGGGGGAGAACCCCAAATCGGCTGGCCAATAATGAAGAGTTGTAGGGAGCAGATATGTTCCTAGCCAAAAGCAAAGCGATCTTGGGTGGAGAAGAATAATCAAGAAACATTCCTTTTTTCTTGAATTGACCTCCAAGAATTTTCTTATTATTATCAACATGAGGAGAAGAGGAACCAAGAAAATATCTTTTACTTTCTTGAATTTGGGCTCCAAGAGTTTCGTGACTATTAACCACGCATGGAGAGGAGGAACCAAGAAAATCTCTATTAGACCAGCTATTATCTTAGAATTGATTTTGTAAGTAAACAGGAAATTGTCTGCGTCCATGAATCCATTTGTCCATTTTAATTGGGTGAGTGGAGAAGATGATTGGGTTTTTTTAATTTTTTTAATTTAATTTTTTAAATGAAAAATGTATAGTTATCCATTTGCCCTTTAAAATTAGTCAACAATTGGTCAGATCTTTATTTTTTGGTCAACTAATGGTTTCTATTAATTTGGACTCTTGGTGCGAATTTTTTAAAGGTTTGATATCGTGGGTGGCACAAATGAATGATTTTGGCAAAGTCTGCAACAAAACGAAATGTTGGCTGCAATTTTCCCTATAATTAATCATCTACCAAAACCACTTCATGTACTTACTATCTGATATGTATCTCTTGGTCCCTTTTCCAATCTCCTCTTATATCCCACATTTGTTCTAGCTCATTTAATACTTGAGACTCGAAATCTTATATGAGCTAGAACAAGCATGTCTTCGAGATTTAGTAACACCAAGTTACACGTCTTTTAACTCAACATAGAATATAGTGTCAATAAAGAAAATTGACACTTCAATTTGTAAGTCACATTGACCTTCAAAGTTCATAGCTATTGAAAAGAGATTAGTTTGAACTTACTACTCATTTGAATAAAAAATGTGACCAACTAAAAATGTCAACACCAAGTTAATCACTTCAGCTCAGTCGCCCTCGAGAATAAGATTATCTATAACAGAACTTTTCAAATCAATACCTCAAGTACTAGAATCTATTTTTTTCCGTACTTGACAAAGTTCTTGATATCTAATTCTCTAGAGTAGTGCGACCCACATGAGCTCTCCTTTCATGTTCTTCTAGTGCACCAAGATTTTACCATGCCAAATGTTGTCGCATTTAGCTTATCACATTTATAAAGGCTAACAACTATAGATTTTTGATGTCGACATCTATCAAATTTTAGAAACATTATTCTTCATTAATGTCCATTTATGCACATATATTATTTTGCATTAATGCAAATTGACGTATACGATAGTTCAACATTGGCACAAGTAAGTTCACTATGTTCGCAGTCATCAATTCTATTCTTCACTATCATAAATTTAACTTCATAACGCAAAATTCTAAAAGTATTAAACGATAATTATTTTAATTCTTTCAACCTTAGAACTCCTGCTCAGTTGATGGATCAAGTAGGTCTTTGTAAGATTTTCTCTAAATCTTTCAATCACCGAACTATCGTAACCGCGTGTGCAATGCACGCTCTGCGTCCATGTTCTTGTTCGTTTTATTTTTCATCTGTTCAAATAATTTCGATGTTCTAAGTTCATCCGTGTGGTCAAAATTTAAAAATTCTATACTTAAAATTGTGTTAGGGACATAAATGCAATGCATGGAGAGCTAGGGAGGAAAGTCCGTTCTTCATTTTCTTCATTATTTTTCTTAAATTTTCAGATTTTGATTAAAATTTTAATAACTTCATAATTTTTTCGTGTTTAGTCTGAAATTTGAATTCATTTTATGGTTGAAATGCTCATTGAAATTCCTTTCTAACCATTTCAATATTACTGTAAAAAAATCAACGATAAAATACAATGAAGTTTTAAAATTTATGCAATTTTAACTAGGGTTTCATTTTTCTCCAAAATTATAAAACCAAAAATTTTGAAAATTTGCAGATATGATCTAAATCATATAGAAAACATATTGTAAAAATTTCATGAATTTATGTTGCATATTTCATGACATTGGACTCGGGATTGTGGTTTAGAGGGGGTGAGACATAATTACGTAAAAAATAATTTCAAATTAGACAACGACGATAACATTAAAAACATAGTACTTTTTTTACAATTATTCCTTACGACTTCTCATACTTTGAAAATGCCGTATAATAGTCTTATTGATAAATTTCATTAAATACATATTTTTCAACATACACAACTAAGCTATCATTCGTCCATTGGTCTCTAATCTAATTATGTTGTCAATTCTTCCCAATGTTCCAGAAAATACTCTTCAAACTGTAGCAGTAGTAACTGGAAGAGTCAATCCTAAAGTCACAAGTATATAAACTAACGAATACACTTTATTTTTTTTGGTCACAACCAACTTCAATGCTAGTTTACTAAGTCCATGCAATTCTCCAAACTCCTTGCTAGAGCGCATATCAACAATATAATTTTGAAACTGATCATCAAGTGTCATGAGCTGTACTTTTAAAAAATCTTTAGGATAATACTTAACAAGACGAATTAATCTCTCCTTGTCAAAAGTAGATAATGAATCATCAGGCATACACAAGCTAAAAAAAGAAGTAGAATCTCACTCACTGTCCCTCATCTCTTGGAGTCTTTGTTTGCATACTACCACTAAACTCAAAGTATTTACAATATCCTGCTATTTTCTTTATAATGTCTTAGATAATTCATTTGAAATCCCTAAGATGATTCTCATGAGATGTAGATTAAATACAAACTCAAATGATTGCATCGAATCCAATAAATTATCAACCTCACATCTTTGTTTACGTGTTGATTTGTTCGTGAAATTTTGTAAGTGTACAGATCATAACAAGTAATAACGTGGATTTATTAAATCCGAATATTGTTCTATAGTGACTACTATCTACTATAAATTTTTAAATTAACTTAATGTCAATTTAAATTAATATAGTAACTAACGATCAAATCAAATTTTATTTTTTAAGCGAAATTCTAATAAATAAAATAACAAACTATTAAATAAAATAACAAAGTCAAATTAAAACTGGAGAAAAGATTATGTGATTGGATAGTTAGGATTTTCGATTTCACTTAAGTTATTTATCATACATTTAATTCTAATTTATTCAACCATTTTTCATACGTGCCAACGATCGGATTAACATGATGTAGTTAGTGATCTCTCTCGAGCAACACTAATTCTATTGATATGTCCGAACTTACTATATATCTATGTAAATTCACACACATATGAACGTATTTATTTATAGGAATTCAACAAAGATCGCATAGCTTATAATTATCTATCAATGTCTTACAATGTCTATGTTAATTATTACACGAGTTAGAATTATACGTAACCTCTAGGTCAGTATTATTCATAAATCAATTAATTGTTGCGCAAACAAATAATAGCATTAAACACACAATAATTAATTAACAAGTATTAAAATGGCATGAACATCTTGAAATTAAACATATAATAAAAACCTTAAGTTACATCATCAATCCTAATAATAAAAGTATTTAGTCATTCATAACATTGAATTTAAACACGCAAAAATTAAAAGACATCACAAAAAATTGACGTAATTAATTCCAATTTATTACTCCAACTTCAGTCAATTTCTTCTCTGTGCATAATGATTTCAGCCCCTTTTTCTCTCCACATAATTCGGCTTCTGTTTTCTTCCAAAGAAGCAATGGTTGAGTTTTCTTCTCCTTTTTATTTTATTTTTCTTTTTTCTCTTTGTTTTTTTCCTTGTTTTCTTCCTGCTCAAGCTGCCAGATGTGTGTTTATTTATACAATCTTTTCAGCCCCTCTTTTCTTTTTTCTCCAACTGTCGGCTCCATTGCTCCCAAGTCCTCGTGCTACAATTTTTTTCATTTTTCCGTATTTTGCATTTTTTTCTTCAATTTTTCATTAAACATGAAGTTTTACCTACAAAATACAATTTAGCATAAATTAGATAGAATTTTATTCAAAAAACAATAAAATATCATAATTTAGAGTCTCGAATAAGTATACTACACTTATCATTATCCATCAACACAAATCATTTCAATGACATCAATTATATGTGAGAACATCAAAATCAAACTAATCAAAGTACGATAATGCGATCCCCAACGTGTCTCACCAAAACGCACAATAGTACTTTGTTGATTAAGACCCCGTCCACTTGAAATCTCACCATTAGTGAGTGCTTCAGAAATTATGGCTTCTTGTTTCTTTCGAAGAATATCACAACGTTTAAAAGAAGCTTCAACAATATTCATCACTCTAGAAAAAAATATCACAACATTTTGAAGAAGTTCCAACAATATCACCACACTAGAAACCAAGTTAAAAAGTGAGAAACCAAGTTAAAGAGTGACTGAACTTTCTTGTGCTTATTTGTTATGGCTACAAGAGCCCATTGAAGTTGATGAGCAAAACGACATAAAAGGCACTTGTATTCTCTTTCAAAATAATTGCTTTGAGACCTTTGAACTCACCTTGCATATTACTCGCACCATCATAACCATGACCTCACAATCTAGATATACTCAACCCTTATCTTGAAAATAATTCATCTATAGCTGTCTTAGGTGATAGAGCTGTAGTACTAGAAACGTATTCAATCCCAATAAAATGTTCAACCACATGTACCATCTTATCCACATAACATAAAATAATAGTCATTTGCTCCTTCAGTGAGATATCTTGAAATTCATCAACTAGAAGTGAAAAAAAATGTATCAACGATATCTTTGAATATAACATCAATTGTTTCAACAGTTGCAGCACTTACAATATCCTTCTGAATTTTTGGCGATGTTAGTTTGTAATTTTTTGGAGTACTTTTCAAAGTAACAACTTTAATCCCTTCATTATGATCAACTAGAAACTTCAACTATTCAATAAAGTTACCTTGATTACTTGACTCTTCACACACACCATAACCACGAAAAGCATATCATTGCCGTAAAAGAATTCGAACACAATAAATTGATGCATTCAAACGAATTCATTATGCACTCCATGCTCGTTTCGACTTCTTGAAAAAAACTGTCCCACTATTTTGCTCTTGATTCATCAAGGCTTCACGATTGATTCGGGCTTGATTGTGTGCACTATGGGCGTCTTCAACATAAACTCCAAGTCCATCCTTTTTATTTATTAGGGAACCCTTCTTTCACAAAAGCATAACCACCTCCTCGTTCCCCATTGTTTGGTTCAAAAAGACAACCGTAATTGACCAATGAATTTTGCAATCACAAACATGGCTACCATGTTAAATGCTTTCAGAAATTATATCACCCTTCACATGCTTTGTGCTCTGTTTGGGTCTAGGATTTCATGGAGGATGGTGCAAGGGAAAAATGAAATCAGTGAAAACTAATTTTCCTCCACTTCTCACATCTAACTAATCAAATGCCAATTATAAAAACATCTTGAACATAATGAAAAAAGAAAAGAAAAGAATTGAATGCATGAATTAAAAAATGTCTCTTGTAGTTGTCTTTGTTCGTGCATTTACTTACAGTTTTATTTATGAGCCTATTGTAGCCAAAATAATCAGTCAACCGAATTCATTGTAATAAGTGAAGACAGTACCATCGTCTAGCTTTCCAACCAATTTCACTAGCAGGTCCAGATAAAAAGATATAATTAGACAGACGTGGTTTACAACAAAAAAGGAACAAAACTCACTAAGATGTCATAAGATGCCTGCGTTTTATAAAAACTCCTTCATTTGGGTGCTCATATCCCTCCCCCTCTTTCAATGTATTTTTAATAACTTTATTGTCATCTGTGACGTTGGAAACTGTCTTCCACGATACCAGCTCCAGAGTGATGTTCAATCACCATATTCGTTGAACCAATCACCACATTTTTACTTATACTATATTCCAACCGATCACCACGTTCATTGAACCAAGCAAGAATGAATCGCCTTGATTTTTTACGTGGAAACATATGACTCCGAGGCTGACACAGACCTCTCTGCAAGTACAATCTTCTTATTTGATCTCAAATAAAAATGTAATCCATTATTGGAGTTCTTAATTCAGGATCCGTAGGAAGTTGTCAACATCAATATGTTCAATACTTGCTTTCTTTATCCCATCATTTATTTGAACATCAGTTTCATCAATATTTGCTTCCTTTGCTTCATCATTTTCTCCGGCAGTAGCATCTTCAACACTTGCTTCCTTTGCCTACATTTTCTTCAAAAGAAATTTCCTCAATGCATGATTTCTTTTCCTCAACATTTCCTTCAATGGAAATTTGATATTCTTTTAAAATATCTCAACATTTCTTTCTACAAATCAAACAAAGCTTGCATAAATATACCACCAGTGAAATAGAAAGTTAAGAAATGAACAGCAAGAATTGAGATTACAAATAGCAAATATTGTAAGATAAACTAAACTAATAATAATCGAAATTATAAAAGCAGATTTTCAAAAACGAATTCTATCAGTTTATCACAAGATGATTTATTCTCTAAGCCAATAAACAATTGAAATTTCTCAGATCTCTTCAATTTTTCGGTCCTTTTCTGGGAAATTCAAAACCAACCAGTCTCTGTTATTGGCATTTGTTTGTTCTTCCACTACTTCCAAGCTCGCTTTCGATGAAATATTTCCAACAAAATATGGTATCCTTCTTTGTTTTAACACTAACATTCTTCTTACTTGTGGGTACTTGTTTTTCTTCCTCTATCATTGGACTCGATTCTGATTTTCGTGCCTTGATTTTCCGTAAACAATGGTTTGAATTTGAATCTAATCCAGTGATAAGTACTAGGAATTTTTCTAATCCAAATTCAATCTGTTGATTCTGTTCATAGGCTGGAATCAAATTCTTCCAAGGAAGAGTAACCTCGCTTAATGTATTGAACTTGGCTCTTTACGGCTCAGTTTCGCCTGAAATGTCCAGGCCTCATATTTCTATGATTTGATTTTGGGATGTGATGAAATTAAATAAGCTTAAATAACTATCAAAACATAAATAATAAGATTCTTGTAAGAAGAATTCCAAGATCTTTTTATATGATCGAATCACCTAGCTTTTTAAGCGTCAAATTCTGCATTTTCTTGCACTTCAATGGTTCTAATCCCGATCACAGTGGAACAAGATTATTATCCACAACCTAAAAGTCTAATTTTGTGAGTTTTCATGTCAAATATGTGGTTTGAGGTACTTTTCAATTTTGGCAATATTTTCCATACGAAATTTTCTCTTTCTCATTTTGTCCTTAACAATAGTTGGATGTTGTATGGGAATTAAGGGAGGTTATGGAAGTTATAGATTTGAATTCCTAGTTCAAATCACTCCCTTCAACCTTTTTGATGTCTTGTGGTTGGGTCCCCCACATGGGCGAACCACGATCCCTGTTTTCCAACAAGAAGCCTACATAATATTTCGCGTCTAGAGAAAAATAATATATTTGGAGATTAACTCAACACTGAAAATTTTGTATTAGGTATGGAGCAATGGGAGGTTTTGCAATGTGAAGCACAGAGTGCAGTGCTACGAGCCAAAAATCCGCACCTCAATTGCATTGTTTGTATTGGCTCCAAGGGATGAAAATGTGGAGGCGTTGCCCCAGCTGGTGGACGTCCACCACCCTCGTCTTTATGTTCCTTTCCATTTTGAAGACTACAGAAAGCTACGAATTTCCACAAAATCACTAACTGGTGCAGCCCTTGAGTTGTTTCGCACAAAAAATTAGAGCCAAATATGGAGAAAAATGATGCTTTATATTTAATTTTGTTCATTTGTATTTGTTCTTTAGGACGAAGGAGTACTGTATGTTACATTATATTTTGTACAATATTATACTTTTTCAGTAATAAAATAATGCATTAAGGACAATTAGCCAAATACCCATAAAACTAGGTGTGATTTGATAAAAGTAATGTAAATTACATATACTGTTTATAAAACAATAAAAAATTGCAGTCATTTCCTCAAAATTGTTTATAGTGGTCCCTCACAATTCACGCTATGTCGCCACCACGCGGTAAACACTCAAATTTTTTTTTGCATTTAGGTTTAAATAGGACTAGTTGAACCTCTCGACATACCCATCATTGGCCTCGCTAGATCAACCATGCGAGCCAACTCACTTCGCATATAGCCAGGCCGGCCCTGAGGCGAGGCACCTGAGGCGAGGCGAATGAGGCCGTCGCCTCAGGCCCAAACCTGGAAGGGGCCTAATTTTTTTGGTCCATTTTTTTTTTGGCTAGGCCCAGAAGTGAATTAGGATTTAGGCCTAATTCTAACCTAAACAAACACTCGCGTCTTCACACTCTCACGCTTTCTGGCTCTCTCCTTCCCGCTCGCTCTCGTCTCCACTCTCCAGTTCTCCACTTCAAAATTCATTCATCTCCTCCAACCCAAGCCGATGCCGGACTCTCCTCCAGTGCAGTCTCCTCCTCTTCTAGTCTTCTTCTTCCTGCCCTTTCGAGCCCTTCTCAATCAGCGCACTGCGAAGTGCGAACCATTTCATTTTTTCGAGTTATGTTCGCCGCTGGTATGATTAAGGACTGCTTCTGCAGTCCTGCTTCGTGCTGGTAGTCG